CTCTCTCTCACTCCCTATTCTCTCTCTCTCTCTCTCTCCCTCTCTCCCTATTCTCTCTCTCTCTCTCTCTCTCCCTCCCTATTCCTCTCTCTCTCTCTCTCTCTCTCCCTCCTCTATCTCTCTCTCTCTCTCTCTCTCTCTCTCCCCTATTCTCTCTCTCTCTCTCTCTCTCCCTCCCCTATTCTCTCTCTCTCTCTCTCTCTCCCTCCCTATCTCTCTCTCTCTCTCTCTCTTCCCTCCCTATTCTCTCTCTCTCTCTCTCTCTCCCTCCTTATCTCTCTCTCTCTCTCCCTCCCTTATTCTCTCTCTCTTCTCTCTCCCTCCTCTCTTTCTTCCTTCCCTACTTACTCACCTGGGGCTCCATGGCACCAATGAACCAGCTCATCATCTGGGTGCCGTCTGCCATCCAGTTCATCCATTGCACATGGGAAATTGCCTGAAGGTGTCTGGAGCTGCAGAAGAACATCCAGCGACCTTTTGATAAGTTCTTTGGCTTGTGGGCGACTTGCAAGCCAAGAAGGAAAGCTAGAAAGAGGAAAGAATCATGACTGAATATGGTATTTGTGAAGTTTGAGTGTCATTTTGATACAATTTACATTTTGCCGAAGAAATGTATTGTACTTACATGATAACTCAAAAGCAAAGTAACAGTTTTGCACGAACCAAGTTACCCTTAGTTACCCATTTCATGCATTGGGGCTTGTGGAAGGGCAGGATATGTATGCTGTTGCAGTATACAGGTTTTTCACACATCTTAGCAAACAGATGGGCTGAATGCCTCTCTTAAGTTAAGCTGTCAATTAGAAATTTCTAAAACTTGCATTTGAGGAGCACCCAAGTACCAGTTTTCACTTGGTATCCGTGGCCTGGATTCACTAACGCACTTATGATGGTAAAATCACTTGTAACTATAGTTACCATGGTAAACAGACAGCGGTGGTATTCACTTGCCATTAGAGTAACCATGATAAATTTTACCAGTGGTCAGAGCACTGGTAACTTTTGGGAAGACGATAACATCACGTGTTATCTTGTCAAAAAATCAATATCTAAGCAAAGTTTTGGGTTTGATTTTACACCTGATGTAACTAGTATGATGGCAAACAGATATCACAATGTAGACATAGTGAAGAAATGCAAATTTCACATGAAACTAGCAAGAATAAAATCCACACAAATTCTTATAGGCCTACATTATATTAGAATGCATGGAACCGATAAATAAGTGAACTTTTAAAGAATTCTTCTCTGACATAATTATTACAAATGCTATAGAAAAAACTACCTTGCTGATATATAAACTGGCAATACCAACGCTAAATGAGTAAAGAAATATCTGTATCTGTCGGCATTTTGACAATAATCTCCAAAGTGCATGGGCAAGAATAAGCTTGGGATATTTCCTTTGAGAACAAATGGCGATGAATAAAAATTTTGTTTGGTCCGGTTCAGAGTTTAACAATGATGAAAAATATATAAATAAAAAGCAGTTTGGACTGTCTCTTTTGTTTGAGGTAAACAATAATATTAATGTAACAGTGTTTGTATTGGTTCCTTTATATACAGTAAATATTTATCCAACATGATGGATATAATCAAATAAATATATTCTTTTTTCTACAATGTGCTTAAATAGTGTTTTAGCTCTGACGATCATTTAAACAATCTCGCTGTATCTAGTTGTTTACATATTACGTGATTGGCTGAAGGAACCTAAAAGATTATGTATAGTGCTCGCTGATTGATTGAATTGCTTTACCAGAGCCCTCTGTTGGCTACCATTAGATTGAGTCGATTTACGATTGTAACTCAGCATATCCAAATTACCATTTCTTCACGAATCCCACTTTGCCATGACTGTAAACACAATGGTAAATGACCGCTGGTAAATGCGTTACGATCGTATGTTAGTGAATCCAGCCCCAGGATGGTAAGAGAGCTATAATGGGCCATTAGTTAAAACATGCAGAAACTTATTTGAAACTTACTCATGTGCAAGGAGGTTAAACTGTCCTAACCTAAATTTACATTACCTCAAGTGAATCCTAGCCCAACCATATTTTCTTGTTAATCTGACCTGCTTCAGCCTTCAGTCTTTGCCTACTGTAAATAAGTTTATAATATGCTACTATTCTCTGCTTTACTTGTTTACCTTGTTCAACTTTTACCCCATTACTTTTGTATTATAAAAATTTTGTTGATCTTTTTTTGAAATAGGTGAACCAACAAAAATGCTGACCAAATCCACACTAATGTACAGAGAGAATTGCCTTGGTTACCAGGTTTTATCAACCTTTCCATCTCTAAGCACTCACAGTTTAGTGTAAAAGTAATCACCTGGAGCTGGTCACCTAATATAGTAAGGGGCTTTTGTATCATTCCCATCGATAAACGATTGTGGAATGTAATGTTCATGAGCCATGACTGGAAAAGCACCGGCTCCAAGGAGGTGGCCATTTCCATGCTCAGTATCCTATTACTTGTGGTGCAGGTTGCATAACAGAACCAGCAGAGAGGCCACTCCCGTAACCCTAATGCCTGTATTTTGGTCTATGTGATTGCCATGAAACAGCCAGATCCAAGGGGTTAATTCATCTTCAGACAATGTATGACTTGGTTCTATGAGTGTAAAATATGTAACCATTTACCCAAGGTGGAAAATATACCATGAATAGATTATAGTTCTTTTATAATATTCTTATACTTTCTGAGAATGGAATATGTACCTATAAACAATCATGGACTGAAATAATTGTATGACTTAAACTAATGCCTAATCATTCATCTTCGTATAAAGGCAATTATTTATATCATTTCATTTATAATAGAGAGCACTCAATCTGTATCATGAGGTCATGCCAATTTTTTCCTCATATCTTGAAAAGAGAAAAGGGGTTTCAATATTAGTCGTCACATTTCCCAGATATAATAAGATTAACAACAAAGGCAATTCAACAAATGCAGTAATAAGAGAAGGAATACCTAAGCATGATCTGCAATATCCCAGCTAGTCCGTGAGCAGCACCCAGGTATTCCGTCTTGTAATACTGGTACATGAGAGGCATAGGACTCCGGTGAGCTTTGGAATACTGGCAACCAGACTCTAGCATGGCATCTAGTATCGCATGAATGGCTCCTTCCTCCAAAACCTGAAATATAAGATAAAATCAACATATTTATAAGACCTCCACTGTTTATTTTCTGTTCTTTTCTGACAGACACCAGCCTATCTATAATAACTGAAATGCTTTAATTTGAGAAAGATGGTGGTTTCCCTTATTTTCCTATGCCTACAATACCTGCCATAAATATACAGAACAACAGCTTCATGCTTTCAACTGGGCTGTGGGTTCTGATAGTATTTTTTCCCACTGACACATATTAAACCTTCATACAATAAATTAGGTAATATTGTGCTGTCCAGTATAACAAACAAATTACAAAATAGGTTAAGTGGCTCATAATTAATATTTATTTGACATTTCTTTAATATTTTCTTCCTATTGTTGAGAAAAGATAAATTCTGCATTTACTCATCTATAATAATGAGTCCCATAACTAAACCAATTGTCACAGAGTACACATAAATATTGTTTTGTTTTGTTAATTCATATTCACAGAGATGGCTCTATAAGTACTTAGTCACCAAGAAGTCAATTTGGCTAGTAGGCTAAATTGACTTCACCTGCTTTCCCCAATCCTTATATTTTATCTTATTTTTTAACCTTATTAGTGTCATTATCATTATCACCATTACTTACATTTTGATTATTCTAATATTATCAACTCATCAGTAGCAATAACAATACAATGGAAAAGGGTTACAAAGTTAAACTAGTAACAGAGTCCTTGGTGAGTAAACATTTGTAGAGCAATCCATCTGTTTACTGATACTTCTATTACTTCCCACACAATCCCTGAAGCTACTTCATTACTGATATAGTCCTCACATTACACTGAAGCTCTGATTGAAGCCAAAGCACTCCTGCGAGATACCCAGCTCGGCCGACCAAAAATTCATCTCCACCGCAACTTAACCAGTTCACAGGGGTAACAACAGGAGCAAGTTGAGCAAACTCTGACAGGCACTTCTTGCACTCCTCAGCATTATCTTTAATCAAAACAAAGGTCTGATGTAAATCATATTTTTCATTCTATTGCTCTTGAATTTACTCTATATATTTGAATGATTCTGTGACAAGCTAAATTATCTCCTGATAACATTTCAGTGACATGGGATTTTCATATACTATAGTTACACAGAAGATTAGGACCTACATGGTAACTGGTTGAACACTTCAAGGTTTAAGATGAAGTAGAGGGATAGGGTGAAAATCAATCTGGGAAGAATCAAAGCACATGTGGTTTGTTTAGAAATATGTAAAGGAATGAGGATGGTTATAAAAGATTACATATACATAAAATAATTTCTATATATCCTTAAATAATAAAGAAATTTATTGGAAAGACTGAAATCTCATAGTACTAGGAGGTAATCTGATAGTTCTTCTTTGTAGATATTACAGATTTACCTCTCAACAATATAACATACCCAACTAAAGGAGGGTTAAAAACAAAATCACAAAAAGTAGAGGGAAAAAAATCTGTGAAAGTTAAAAATTCAAAGGAAATTTGTTGTGGAATCAAGGATCATTCACAAACAAATTAAATTACCTCTTTCAATCAAGCTATCAACCTTCTTGCTTCCTAAAGACTATTTACATTAAAACATTGATACCAAAAAGAAAATCCCACTACAAATACAACAAAGGATCAGACTTTACTCCACTATCATACCTATAAACTCACAACTTACCCAGGGCATTATACAAGACAGCTCCAACAGCATAGGCTCCAGCATTACCCAGGAGAAAGGCTGCAATATCTACTTTATTCCCTTGAGACTTGGTGTAATTGGCACAGTCTAAAGTAGGTTTCAAGTAAGTCACAGCCTCCTTAAGAAGGTAGTTCCTACGCTTCTGGGATCTTTGAGATTGTAAACAGTGTAACATGTAAACAGCTCCCGCGAGGCCCACATAAAGACCGCCATCACAGTTCTGTTGGGAGGATAAAGTTGGTAAATGTAGAGCAAAATCTTAAACCTATATTTCATTAATGATTTGATATCATGTGTCTTCTATACAATACTGAAATTATAATTCTGATGATTATATACCTCTTACAATATCCACAACAGCCTATCATTTTCTCTCTCTCTTCTCTCTCTTTCCTTCCTTCCTTCCTCCTTTTACTTTCTTTCTTTCCTTCCTTCTTGCTTTCTTTCTCTTTCTCTCTTTATTATATACCATAGATATATATACAATATACTAAGTCAATAAAACATTGACATGACCCCCCCCTACATGCACTGCTTGTGGCTCTGTCACTTATTTATGGTCCTGTAACAGCATGCTGAGCATATGCTGTATCTCTACTTTTAAGCAGTTTGCCAAAAATGTTTTTCCAGCAAATTATATCATATTTTGAATAGTAATAAGGCAGGCTATATTGCCAGTCAGCCATCTCCCACAAATCAAGTGGGTGGTTACAGTACTCCAATATTTGGTAATGCTCTAGGACTTGTGCTCATTGGGAAGCCTATCAAATTTGCTATTACTGGGTACCTCGTCATGTCTAATGTGGTTTTAGGTGGTTCATGGTAAAAATAGTGACAATAACAGTTCTGATAAGGGGAAAGGACATTAGATATCCAGAAACAGTAGGGTTAGCTTGAACACTATTTGTATATTTTGCCTCTCCCAATTCTATTTGAACACATCTGATTTGCGGGACAGAACCCCAACAGGTCCAGCTGACACACCTCATGCATGGTGTCACAACTCAGTTGATGTGGAGGTAAACTTCATTCAATGCTTATGGAAGAGAGGTTGGGAGTACCGCTGCTATCAGATGTGAATGAGAAAGGGTGGCCTTAGTACAGGTGAACTTCATCTGATAAATAAGGCGCACTGTACAAATAAGCGCATATCACACATATTTATGGTTGGTTGACGGGGGGTGAGGGAAAGAATTAAGGTGTAAGTGGCAGTGTCAGTGTTTGTGAAGGTGCTTGTAGTGTAATGTGTTTGTTCAGTTTATCAGTGAAGTCGCATATGGTATGTGGGAAGATAGAGTGCTTGTAAGAGACGGTATTGGTGTGGTATGTGACAAAGTTACTGGTATGTGAGTTCCATGTCTTGTGTGAATGTGCTGCTTGTAAGTATTCATGTTTGTTAATATCAAAAAGGTTGTTTGTGATCTTGTACATCTTGTAAGTCTGTGCTTGTCTTTGTACCTCTAGCAGGTCCATGTTCATTTTTTTTTTTTTTTATGCAAGATGTAATACCCGGTATACAAGTGTAATTGTGAGTAATAAGCCTAGCAGCCCTAGTATTGACCTGTTTGAGCTTCATAATATTGTGCTTGGTGTAAGGGCGCATACAGCCGTACAGTATTCAAGTGTTGGGCGTACAAGTGTATCATAAGCTATGTGTTTGATGTCAAGTGTACAGTTGTGTAGGTTCCTCCTCAGAAACCCAGTGTTCTGTTAGCTTTGTTAGTGATGAAATCAATATGTGTGCTAAAGGTATGATTGTCTGTAAGGTGAATGCCAAAGTATTTGTAAGATGCTACAGGTATCAACTGTTGGTTGTGTAGGAAATAGATGCATTATATTGCTGTATTTAATCTGGTGAAGCGGAGAATTTTGTAATTATCAGGTCTGAAGAACATTCACCATAACTTTTCCCACTGTTCCAGGGCATCTATGTCATGTTGAAAGAGTCTACAGTCATCTTCAGTTTTAATAGGTCAAAACAAAAGACAGCAAAAAGTCTAGTGGAAGAGTTAGGTGTCGAAAGTGGAAGGTTGTTAATGTTCAGAAGAAAGAAAAGGGGGCCAAGAACGGTGCCTTGGGGAATGCCAGAAGAGACAGAAACAGAGTCAGAAGATGCACCATCGAGTAGGACACGCTGGTTCCTACATGCCAAAAAAGCAGTGATCCAGTGAAGAATTGGTCCAGGAATTTTGTCAAAGGCCTTGGCAAAGTTGAGCAGTATTGCATCAATTTGTTTTGTGTTGCATTTGTCAAGTTGTCAGGCAATGTCACGATGAGTGGTGTCTAATGTAGTCAGTAAAGTATGCTCTTAGTCAAGATGTCAAGTGGCAGGATTGGGGGATAAGGGCTATCTGGTATGTTGGGTGTATTGTCGTCTTAGTGCGAGAAAACAGATTGGAAGTAAGTGTTGAGTAAAAGTGTTTTGTGTTCTGGGTCAGTCACAAAGATGTTGCTGGAGTCTTTTAAGGCTCTGATTACTGTAGTGTCGTGTCTGCGCGACTTGAAGAATTTGAAGAAATGTTTAGGGCTGTTTGAGTGGTAGGTGGAAATGTGTTCTTGTTCTGCTTTCTTTATGTTTTTGGAAAATGTTTTTTGATAGGATCTAAGAGCAGTCCAATTTTCTGGAGTACTGTAAGTTTGCACGTGTCAGCAGAGTCAGTGTT